GTCTGTTGGCGCTACGTGTGGTTTTGCATTATTTTGTTGTACAAATATGATTTCACGACAATCCTTCCTTGGCCAATTCGCTTTGATCGCTAGGAATACTTTCGTCAGAAGATATTCCTTGTAGACTTCCTGGAAGATCGTATCGATATTACGAGTGCAAATAGACCCTTTGTCTCTGCTTTTGGTTCGTCGTTTCGCATCGTACTGTTCCGTGAAAGACCATATCCCAACTTTGCCACCCCAACGCTGCTTTCGGCGAGGATCGTACCTAAAATTAAAAATAAAATGTTAACGATTTCTATTTTTCAAAAATAAAAATATAGAGGCTTACCTTTGCCGTGCAAGGGCAGGTAAAAACATCGTTTTTGAAACGACGCTTGCTCTTCCACACACGTGCAGGTAGTTCTTCACCGTCGAAAACGAGGTATGAGCGTCTGTTGCGGTCTGCGTAAAACCACTACTTATCTACATGCACTAGATTGTGCATAGGCTCGAACTGCAAGATAGATTCTTTGATAAACGACAACGCGTGCTCTACCCGCCGTATCTTGTTATCATTCGCTAGTGCCGGCTTGATAAACGTAGTTCGTCGCGTTACAATCACCTTTTTCACTGCCTGTCTTATCAGATGCCTGGAGAGACCAGAGACCGCCGCTACACGTCTTTCAACCGCTCTATCCTCGACAGGAACACTCTTCAGTTATCACGTACTTCGTCTCGATTCTTCCGCTTTCTGCCGCTGTTCTTCTTAATCCGGCTAAGCCACTATCCCCCCCTCCCCGCCACGACACCAGCCGTCACTGCAGAGCTGCACCCCTTCCAAATAAACCTCACAGTGTTCGGATGTCGGCTCATAAGAACACCAACTTTAGCAAACGCTCTACGGTGTACATTGTTCTTTAGAAGTTCGTCAATGACGACTTTCCGCTAGGTATCGGTAAGGTTGGACTTCGGCATGCTTGTAGAGGGAGAAGCAGCGTAGCGCAGGCGTGGCGGGTCGCACTCCAGGCGAGGCTGGAGACCTTAGGAGCTAAAAATGAAATGACAGAGGCTACAGTAGTTCGTTCGGGGCAAAACTGGTGGCTAGAAAAAGAGGAGATGCGGGGCTTTCGTTTTGTTCAATCAGATGTTGTAATGGTTAAACAGAGCTGAAGCAATTGGTCAAATAGTCGGTTTCACGTGATCATTTCCGACCAAAGGAAGTACAGTTTATTTACGAATATTTAGCGATAGTATCATGCCCTAACACTAAAATCAAACAATTTTTTGTTTTTTATTATCTACTTTATGATCTTGCAGTGTGCAGTCTGAAGTGTTTCCTCAGTTCGTAGCATTGCTGAAACACCACTTCACCAAAATGAAATAGTACTTGGTTTTGTTTGCGTTGTTTCATGCCGTCTACTGTTGATGTAAAACTACTACTCCCAAATAGCTATGTTGACAGCA